TATATGAGTTAAAAGAACATTATTTAAAAAAGTTGCTTTTCTTTTAACAGCATTTATTGTTTTATGGCTGAAAGATAATACATACGACGTGCATAATTCAACTTTAAAACAATGTTCAGCTTTTACACAAATATGCAAATTCAGACAATACAATTGTATTTTAATGGCATCACTATTTCTAACTTTACTTTGACTTTCGTGGACCAACATTCCCATTAGTTGCACTTTAAAAATCACTATTTCTAACTTTACTTTGGCTTTCGTGGACCAACATTCCCATAAGTTGCACTTTTAAAATCTGACATATTTTCCCAGTGAGGACTATCAATCTGACGAACAGGATGAAGTAGAATAGAAAGTAGAAAGGACAACTGTATTCCTATGGCGTGGCACTGGACAGACAATTATGTTTCAATGCACGCTTCTGACATTCAAAAACTTCCCCTTGATTATTATTGTACTGGAATAACAATTATATAAGGGTATGCTGAAACAATAAGTCATTGATAATTTGAACATTCCCTCGCAAATTTAAAGCATCTCATGATTATACCGGAGACACTACGAGTATAGAAACGTTGTCTTTTTTTCTTTTTTTTTATTGTCAAATAATTATATATTATTGTAATATATTGTAAATATTGTTCCGTCTTTGACCTGAGAAACAAGGCTTGTGTACAGTTTATATTTAAAACGCTATATTGATCACAATTTCTAAGTTAATATTTAATATACCCTTTTACATGCAATCAAATATTTTCTGATCAAGATAAAGATATACTTTACAAGCAAATAAACTATAAAGAACAAAGGGTCAACTTTTTCTCCCGTTAAAGCAAATAAAAGGGTAAAAAAATTTAAAAAAGAAAAGAAAAAAACCTTGATGAAAGAATTAGAATGAGAGCATGATTTAAAGAAGTTCTTGTTTTGCTGTTAAAGAATTGTGCTCTTTTTTTGGTTCATCTCAATCAGCATTTTGATATTACTAACTGGTCACCATCTATGACAAAGACATGTCCCACGTTGTGACGACATGGTCCTGTTAGGGTTCAAATGACCATGTACATTTAAGTTAAAATGTCAGATTCAAGCTGCTTTGTCATATCTTAGACAAAACTTAACTCATGGTTTTCAGACTGAAAATAAACGTCATCGCTTGTGAGAAACGACGTTAAAAAGGAAAAAAACAAATGTTTCTCAACACTTGATTAGATTTTTTTTTCAACTTAAAAGTTTCTTAATTCAACGTCAAAATTAAAAAGGTAATAAAATGAACCAATACAATTTTATCAAACACTTCTCTAATACATTTTTTTAAAATTGTCACCAATTTTATCTTGTTACAACAGCAATTCATCCACGTGAAAATTTAATTAAAAAGATTGAGGACTTAAAAGATTGATACATGTAATTCTCCATATTAACTGGTTACCGGTCATATTAGCCCGTATAATTCATCTAATATTGCACCCCCATAGCTTTGTTTTTTGTGTGTTCTTGGAAAACTATTTCTACGAAAATTTGTTATTTTTTTACCTTGTTTTCTTTTAATTCATATCCCAGTTTGTTGACAATAGAAGACAAAATAAGGATTGGTCGAAACATACATATTTATAATTAAAACAAGTACTAGCAATCGAGGGAATTTCGGTGGGGTGGGGCGGTAGGGCCGACGGAACCTTACGAAATAATGTTGAATAAATCATGACATAAAACGAAAAAAAAACAAATGCCAAAGCGATCCTTTATATTGAGATAGAAGCTTTCATGACCAACATATTACTGTTGATATAAATATATAGAAACATACCTGACATATGAATTACCTTGGTCGGAATCTTAACTGCCCCATGTTCAAAAGGAAAATATCGAGGACTTAGTGCAAAAAGGGTTGTACCTCATATGACATATAGGTGGAGTAACAACCAAGTCGATATGCAAATAGATTCTTGTATTACATATTGTATTGGGGCATCCGTGGCCGAGTGGTTAAGGTCGTTGACTTCAAACCACTTGCCCCTCACCGCTGTGGGTTCGAATCCCGACAGGGACTTTGGATTCTTTCATGTGAGGAAGCTATCCAGCTAGCTTACGGAACGTCGTTGGTTCTACTCAGGTGCCCGTTCGTGCCTGAAATAATGCACGGAAGGGCACCTGAGGTCTTCCTCCACCAGTAAAGCTGGAACGTCGCGATATGACCTATACTGTGTCGATGTGACGTAAAACCCAAAACAAACAAACAAACATATTGTATGGCATGATGAAATGTGGAAAAAATATAATTTTATAATAGAGATCCTGAAAAAAGGCATTGTACAAATTAGAAGAAAAAAAACTCTTCAATACAAGTATCTTTTTCAAGAAAACATGGATCTCTTACTAATCATATCAAGACAAATTAAAATATCATTCTTAGATTGCTTTAACAAACGTATCAGATTGAAATTGTAATAATTGTATTTGACCAAATATATAATAGAAACAAATGATAACATCATTTCGTAAAGACAGTTACGACAACAGCAAACATGTCTGTCAAATTTTGCTTGCTGTGTTATTTTTATGTTCTGTTAACCATATATATTGTTTTTTTTATATAAAGAGTTCTTCTTTGTTTTGTGCAATGTTTGAGACGTTAAAATAGCAAAGATATGACCATTATAATGGTTGAGTTTTAGAAATTTCCTTGTTATGTCTCATTTATAGACACAACTAAACAGTATTTGTTTTAATAAATAAAACATGAAATGATTATATTATGTTATGACATTTTACAAACATTCAACATTGAGTGACAGACAATACAAAAAAGTCTCATGCTATTATAGCATATTTGATAATATGCAAAAGCTAAAATGTTCTGAGAATTCAACTTTAACGTAAATTTGTTTTGCTTTGAAAGAATATGTTAGTTGTTTATACACTAAAAGAATGTCTGTGAATTGTACCGAAAAGACCAAAATAAGGTTTCTCAAGACGAAGCCTGAAAGTTTACGAGAACTCAATTTCAAAATGAAATTAAGGAAAAACTTATTATAAGAAATATTTGACTTCAAATATAAGATCATTTACAAGTTTTACCTTCCTGAGCAAGTTGAATGCAATATCGAGCAACTAATAATATCAGTGTTAGCAGTAAACTTAACTTTGTTTAAATCTTATTTCAAATGTAAAGCTGACACCCTAATACTAAATTATTGTGATAGCTTCGCAACAGATAAAGCCAGCTGCGACTTTCTTTCAGTCTCAAAAGATATCGTAAATTCAGCTTTATATCAAGTGTAGAAATTGTCCTACATTATTATATGATTAGAGGAGAATTAAATTTTCAAAACCCTTGTATGTTGAATTATTTGTAACGCCCGATCTTTAACAATCTGTACGCATATAGCTTTTTATAACCATTTGCAACTGTTATAAGACATAAGGTCATCCTCGATTATGATGCCTAAACACAAGCTTTAAATTTTATCACTATTTAAATCTAAATGTCTGACTCTGCTAGACACCGCAAATTAAATGTGCAGAAAAATAATTACTTACTTTCAATAACTTTTCTTTCTTTTATTTGAAATTGTGCAGCATCGCGTGTTTAGGATTTTTTATTTTTGCACTCTGATTGATGATGATTTGCTTCATTTTGAGGGATTCCATTCATTTAGGAACGGAAGTGAAATGTTGGCTGATTCTTTTTCACTTAAAACGAGATAGATGTTTAAATGGAAATATTAATAAAGATAAACGTATAGCCTTATGAAAATAACATGAGCTGCAAATGTCTGAGTTTATTATTAAGTATCTGAGTATTATTAAGATTCTTTTTACCATAAAGTTATAACTGTTTATAATTTGTATTATTTCAAGTTAAATCCAAGACAAAGTATCCAAAAGATTTGAAGTACATATGTTATTGTTTTTGTGTTGTTGTTTTTTTTTATCTGAAATGCCTTTTGCATAATCAAGAGAATATTGGCATTGAAAACACACTGTTGCAATAAAATAAGGCGGGTTTGAAAAAACGAATTTTTAAAGGTGTGCAAACTATAAATACATTAACTAAATGAAGAAAGTTACTGCTTACAATATGCTGATATGCCGCATGCGTACTTAAGTATATAAATACAAAGACGTACACCAAACTTGTAATTTAGAGGTAAAATCGTTTATTTTTAATACTAAAAATTTCTTGATTATTTTAAGTAAGCGAATAAGTCTGAAAGGCAGATAATTATAACTAGTCTGATTGTTTCAAAAATATGATTTAAAACATCAACTGAAGTTATATTGTACAATAAAGCATGATTATCCATCAGAATGCAATTATATCGTGGAATGTCGAAACGATTTCAGATATTATCGAGATATATTTGAGATATATTTTAGATATTATAAAAACTTGAATAGAAAATAACCGTAATATTTAGAAAGACCAAAACAGACCGAAACATTGTTGAAGCACAAATAATTATTATGGTTTAAATAAATTATTGAAAAAAGAATCTTTTCCCAACGCAACACAATATCTTGAGCAGCACAGACAAAATTAAACCACAATTCCGGCAGAGAATCGATATTTTTAAGTTTGGACTGAGAATTTAAGCCATATTGGAATCAAAGTCCATATAACAGTACGATATAAACTGTTTTATCTTAGTAGGAGTATTCTTGCTTATTGAATAAAGGGGAAAATGGTATGATCTCCTATGTTGTCAACAGTCATATACGCCATTTATTCGGATGCAGATATTTATAAATTTTTGCGAGTGTAAACCATACTGTTTGCACTTTCAAGTTGACATCATATTAATTTGATTCAATATGGTACCAACTAATGTTTAACACTACATTTAATTTTATGACACAGTTTAATATCACGACACAAGTGCATGACTCTTATCGCTGGCATAACACATATATCTTAATATGGATACAATAACTTTATATAATCGGCAGTTTAGTCTGCACAAGGCCACTGTTAGATAATATTTAACAATTTGAAGATGCCAGTTAGCTTCGTTGTTTCTATATTTCTAATTGCGTTCATCGTGGATATATCATGCACAGTAATAACAGACGATACGGAGATTCTGTCGATGATTAAAGAATTGAAAGACACAGGTATGCTATGTGACTTTACAGTTGATTGATTAAAAAAATATTTAAGTCAATATTCTTTCTTCCCAAATCTTGCACTGATCGGTATGCTTTAAATTAAATCTAAAATAAAGATTCAAAAATGTTATACGTTAAAGATATTAACAACTTTTATGATATACAGGATCTGAGACCAATTTAATTTGCCATCAGCAAGAAAGAGGATGCAATCGAAATAAATTATGAAAAATAAAGATTTAAAGATGTGTTATATAATATCATTTACATCATTTATTTCTAGTGAAGTCACATGAGCATGCTATCCGGTCACTAAAAAAGCGTGAAGCAGAACAAGATAATATTATCATAAGACTCAAAGACAAAGACAAGCAACAACAGGATGCTATTAACTATCTCATGAACGAATTGATATTTAAATCAAAACAAAATGAGCTTGTAAACCCTCCAAAGGAACAAACACTGCGACAAACCAAAGAGCGTGAAGAAACTTCTGACATATCAGACTCATTACGCGATGAGAGTCAACTGAACATTCGGATTGACGGAGTAAGATCATACAAATCCAAGTCTGAAATAAACATTTCAAACAACGCAGGTGAGAACAATACACAGTAAACTTTGATACAGAAAGCTGTCAATTTAAAGTTAAGAGGCATGAAGATTTACAACATCTTCAATATTATCATATTTCTTCAACTTTTATATATTATGTTGTTCAGGCAAAATAATAAAGTTGGGTATAAAAAAGTTAAGTAAACAAATGCTTTAAACAACGTCACAAAAAATACAATTGCTCACTTCTGTCAAAATAATTAAGGAAGGCATCAAATTATTTCCACTTTAACTTCAGACGATTTGAGGCCCAGCAGACAATCTATACACCCAAACATCGCTTTTCAGGCAGTACTTAGTGTAACCACACTCACAAATGTTGGGCTGCATCAGAAGATTGTGTATGACTCTGTTAACCTAAATCTTGGCGGCGGCTATCATCACCTTTCAGGCATCTTCATTGCCCCTGTATCTGGCATATATCTGTTTTGTACGTCTGTATTAGCAGAATCTCATGCCGATATCGATGTAGGAATAATAAAAAATGGTAATCAGCTAGCCGGTGCTTATGCAGGTGCAGATTCTGGTGGGAAATCGTACTATGACCAAGGCTCTGCTTCTGTTGCCGTGCAATTAAATGCCGATGACGAAGTGTGGGTTGAAAATCGTTGGCCAGCAGGCGCAAAAGTACATGGTCGAGGTTTGCATACAAGTTTTACTGGAGTTCTTGTTGTGCCAATGTAAAAGGAAATAATTAGATGATTAAACTTTGTTACTAGTTCTGAATTACGTTATATCTTACTAAATTGTACATGATTTTAATATCTAACGATTGAACGAGCTCCTCCCTTTACATTAATGGTTTATATTGTGTACACAGATTAATATCGTTTACAAATTTAATGATCCTTAGGCGGATCATATAAATATCACACCACGCTGAACGAGATATGGCAAAATGAACATATGACATGTTATTTCAACTGAGACGTGAGGGTCATTTGGTTGTGTAATCATGTGATATCATAAATGGGTAATATAGCAAATGAACCACGTGATGTATAACAAAATGTAGATTCTTATAACTTAAATAAAACTCAATGATAGAAAATAATCTAAGAATTGTTAAAATGGAAAGAAAAACGCAAATTCATCATATGTTTTAAAAAAAGTTTATGAATAATAATGTTTAAATTATCAAAATTAGGCTTTAAACTATCTCGAGCTTTACTAGTATACTTATAAAAAATAAAAAATAGTATGAACTGCATTTTAACCCATATTTACGTATCTAAAATAATATATAAAACAAATTATGAACATTGAAAATATCAATTACAATGTACTTTTTAACATAGATAACTGAGTATGCATGAGAAATTCGTTATGTCCATGCACATGAGTTTACGAAAGAAGAAAGTTCTTGTTCTGTACTCCGTATACACGTTTACCATTTTAAACTCTTTTTTTCTTAATTACGAATGACCATCTCAATTTTTATTTATATTCAGTTCTTTCCTGTAAATTTTACTGGGAGACAATCTGAATTTCGACAGCCTTCTGCCAAATTAAATGCCAAACTTTGACAAATAAATAGACCATGATAATGTTATTGTTTTATGTAAGCAAAACAGCCAATAAACAAGAGGGCCATGATGGCCCTGGGATCGCTCACCTGTACATAGGCCCCAGGGGCGGGGCCAGTTTAAACCACAGGGCTTTTATTTGAACAAACTTGGAAGACATCCATTAGAAGATGTTTCATGATGTTAAGTTTTTACTATACACAAATAATAAAAAACAATGACTTTTGCCTCCCCCCCGTCCCCCTGGCTGGGCCAATTTTAACCCAAGGGCTTTTATTTGAACAAACTTGGTAGACACCCATTAGAACATGTTTCATGCTAAATATCTTAGCTCTAGCTCTTTGGGTTCTTTAAAAGAAGATTTTTAAGTTTTTAATAACTATTTGCAACATAGGGAAAATCAATGACCCCCTAGGGCGGGGCCAATTTTGACCCAAGGGCTTTTATTTGAACAAACTTGGTAAACATCCATTAGAACATGTTTCATGCAAAATATCTTAGCTCTAGCTCTTTGGGTTCTTTAATAGAAGATTTTTAAGTTTTTACTCTATGTATATAGGCAAAATCAATGACCCCTCGGGCGGGGCCAATTTTGACCCCAGGGCTTTTATTTGAACAAATTTGGTAGACACACATTAGAAGATGTGTCATGCTAAATATCTTAGCTCTAGCTTTTTGGGTTCTTTAAAAGAAGATTTTAAGTTTTTACTTCATGTATATAGGGAAAATCAATGACCCCTGGGGCTGGGCCAATTTTGACCCCAGGGATTTTATTTGAACAAACTTGGTAGACACCCATTAGAACATGTTTCATGCTAAATATCTTAGCTCTAGCTCTTTGGGTTCTTTAAAAGAAGATTTTTTTTAAGTTTTTACTATATGAATATAGGGAAAATCAAAACCCCCCTGGGGCGGGGCCAATTTTGACCACAGGGCTTTTATTTGAACAAACTTGGTAGACCCCCATTAGAACATGTTTCATGCTAAATATCTTAGCTCTAGCTCTTTGGGTTCTTTAAAAGATTTTTTTTAAGTTTTAACTATATATGCATATAGGGAAAATCAATGACCCCCTGGGGCGGGGCCAATTTTAACCCCAGGGCTTTTATTTGAACAAACTTGGTAGACATCCATTAGAACATGTTTCATGCTTAATATCTTAGGTCTAGCTCTTTAGGTTCTTTAAAAGAAGATTTTTTTAAGTTTTTACTATATGCATATAGGGAAAATCAATGACCCCCTGGGGCTGGGCCAATTTTGACCCCAGGGCTTTTATTTGACATCCATTAGAACATGTTTCGTGCTCAATATCTTAGCTCTAGCTCTTTGGGCTCTTTAAGAGATTTTTTTTAAAGTTTTTACTATATGCATATAGGGAAAATCAATGACCCCCTGGGACTGGGCCAATTTTGACCCCAGGGCTTTTATTTGAACAAACTTGGTAGACATCCATTAGAACATGTTTCATGCCAAATATCTAAAAATCTAAAAACAGATTTTAACCTTTTATCCCATAAGCATTTTGTAAAAGAATGGCCATTTTCATTGAAAAGCCTCCTGTTACAAGTTCAAACTGCTATGAAACTATGATAAATGCTTCAATACTTATGAAACTTGGTACAAATGTTGACTGGACCATAGCCTCTGTTACAGCATGCTCAATCGTAAATTTTCTGTTACAATGGCAACGGAGGGACGTCTCAAAATTGCGAAAAATCACTATTTTGCATTCAAAACTGATTTTAAGTGCTGCAACTTCTCAATGAATTAAGATAGAGTAAAAGGCTTTTCAGAGTCGGTTACTAGTTTTGAAACAATATCAATTACTTTTTTACATAAATTACTGAGTGTACATGAGAAATTCGTTATGTCCATGCGCATGAGTTTACGAAAGAAGAAAATTATTGTCCTGTACACCTTTAGATTTATTAAAATTTAGACACGTATACCATTTTAAACTACTTTTTTCTCATCGTAATTTTAATATGACCAATACAATTTTTATTTATATTCAGTTCATCCCTGTAAATTTTACAGGAAGTCAAACTGAATTTCAACGGACTTCTGCCAAAATAAATGTCAAACTTTGACAAATAAATAGACCATATAATGTTATTGTTTTATGTAAGCAAAACAGCCAATAAAAAAGTAACAAAGAAATTTCTGCAAAACAAATTTGAAAATTTACTCGGGTCAACAAAAAGGCATTTGTATGCACAATAATAAAAGTATTTGAAAATTGACACACACAAAATACCACCCACCAAAAAAAAAATAAATAAAAAACCCTGCAGAAACTATATATTATAGATCACCTTTTTGAAAGGATGGCAAAACGCCTCGTTTAGTTAAATAATGAAAGACAATAAATAATCATAATTAGCCTGCCTGCGACGTTTTCTAAGTATTGTCATAAAGGCCTATACTAATTATGACGGTATATTTATAGTCTAGTTGTCAATTTGTTAACAGTAAATATTTGTTGCGTTAAACATATCTAATAATATATTGTATCATAGTTTGGGGACCTTTCTGTTGAAAACGTGTCAGAGTTTAATCGTATATAAATACATAACTGGAGTGCAGGTATTAGTTATCCAAAGCATACCCATTGATTGGCTCATTTTTCCTTGCGGTCAATTATATCAGTAAATATATACCACGCATTTTTTTCTTTCAAAACATGATGAGCTTTATAAAGGAAGACCCACGACTGAATGACAAAAACATAAACCTACGATTACTCCCTGTTTAGCATCTAAATTGAATGACAAGTCATCAGGGATTGGTCGGTATTTAATAATCGCAATCATGACAAGTATCTGCGCGACGGAACAATATATTGTCATATTTATAGTCAATCTTTCTTTCAAATTAACAATGTTATGTTGTTATTTTCTTTATAATTTTGATGTGTGTAGAATAGTGATTTAAAGTTAAATACATGTACTCAACAAAAAGAAAAGCAAAAAAATAACATTTTTAATGACATTTGAAAATAAAAAGATTGGTACTAGAGTTACGAATTTTCTGAAATAAGAGGTAAGTTACAAAAAGGAACATACATGTAAAGTTTGAAGCCAATCTCTGAAGAAAAAAGAAGTTAAAGTAAAAAATGTTTTACTGCCCCAAAAAAATCTTTACAATATGGGGACGCCGACGCCGGGGTATGTAGAAAATCTCTATATATACTTTGTATAATTGAGTAAAAAGTAACAAAAGATCATTATCTTACAAAGTTGATTTTCTTATAACAACATTTATTGTTTTATGACTGAAAGTTAATACATACGACGTGCACAATACAACTTTTAAACAATGTTCACCTTTAACTTATGTTTCAGAAATATGCAAATTAAGAGAATACGACATTATTTGAATGGCATCACTATTTCTAACTTTACTTTGACTTTCGTGGACAAACATTCCCATAAGTTGCACTTTTAAAATCACTATTTCTAACTTTACTTTGGCTTTCGTGGACCAACATTCCCATAAGTTGCACTTTTAGAATCTGACATATTTTCCCACTGAGGGCTATCAATCTGTCAGACAGGATGAAGTAGAATAGAAAGTAGAAAGGACAATTGTATTCCTATTGCGTGGCACTAGACAGACAATTGTGTCTCAATGGACGTTTTTGACATTCAAAAACTTGCCTTTGATTATTATTGTACAAGAATAACAATCATATAAGGGTGTGGTAAACAATAAGTCATCTTTTCATTTTTTTTTGGGGGGGGATTTTTTTTTTCGTTTTTTTTTATGTTTCATTTTTTCTTTTTACTACGAGACACGTGGTTTAATTATTTTATTTAACTTATAGCAAATATTGTTTCGTGTTTGACCTAATAAACAAGGCTTGTGTAAAGTTTATATGTAAAACGCTATATAGAGTACACTTTATAAGTTAATATTTACACTTTATAAGTTAATATATAATATACTTTTTTACATTCAATCAAAGATAAAGATATACTTTACAAGCAAATAAACGAATCTATAAAAAATCGAGGGTCATATTTTTCTCCCTTTCAAACAAAAAACAATAGTAATTCTTTTCTTTTTTACAGCAGGAAGAAAGAAGTAGAATGAGAGCATGATTTTACACTGTTTTGCTGTTATGCTGAGATGTGCTTTTTTTGCTTCATCTCAATCAACATTGCAATTCATCTCAATCAGCATTGCAATTTGCTTACTTGCCACCATCTTTGACAAAGACATCATATCACATATGGACAAAACTTTTACTCTTGGTTTTCAGACTGAAAATAGAAGTCATCGCTTGTGAGAAACGACGTTATAAAGGATAAAACAAATATTTCTCAATACTTGATTAGATTTTCTTTTCAACTTAAAGTTTCTTAATTAAACGTCAAAATTAAAATGATAATAAAATGAACCAAAACAATTTTATCATTGTCGCCATTTTTTATCTTGTTAAAATAGCAATTCTTCCACGTGAAAATTTAATTAAAAAGATTGAGGCCGTAAAAGATTGATAATTCTTCATATTAGCTGGTTACCGGCCATATTGGCCCGTACAATTCATCTAAAATTGCAACCCTATAGCTTTGCTTTTTTGTGTGTTCTTGGAAAACTGTTTCTACGAAAATTTATTACTTTTTTACCTTGTTTTAATTCATATCCCAGTTTGTTGACAAAAATACAAAATAAGGATTGGTCGAAACAGATATTTTTACAATTTAGCAATTACTAGCAATCCAGGGAATTTCAGGGAATAAACGGAATTTATAAAATGATACTTAACCAACACTGATAAAGATAGATTGGCTTTGAAATTATTTAAATCGCAAATAATTGCCAAAAAATGAAATGTTGGTGCACTTTTTTTTCAAATGAGTTTTCAATTTTATAAGTTACTGTAAAGAAAAATTGCATTTTTGAAATGATTTTCCCAGTAATTGTATGAGGTGTCCCAGCACCAGCATGATTATATAATGACAACAGTTCAATTTTTAATTAACCTTAAGCCTGCTGGTGGCAACAAATTTTACCCATATGACCACTGCAGACCAATAAAAGCTTGCACAACTGTGCTGTCTGATCATGGGCACACTCACACACACTGTTTACTATTCAGTCAGTATATATTTGAAATTTTCTCTCAAAATGATGAATGGTTATGTCCAGACTGAAACAATGAACAAGTCTATTTGAGATATTTAGTACGGTAAGCTTAATAGACAGACCTACCTTTATTATTTTATTTAAAATGTACCGCTTGACAGTAATAAAATAACGATAACACACTGTACCGGTATATGCAAATTTTATCTTTTTAATGTATATTCCATTCAAAATTATTTCATATGATCAAAATGGATATGCACATATTCAAAAGTGTGATGTTAAAATGATAATGTAAATGTATTCATAAACAAATATTGATATATCTTAAAAACATTAAATTAATGTGTTTAAAGCGCCTGTAATAAAATGCAAATTACACAAGTATCCCCAAGAGACAGGGATTCAGAACAATGGACGTCACCTTAGTGCAGCAACTGCAAACAAGAGGGCCATGATGGCCCTGAGGTCGCTCACCTGTATATAGCCCCCCCCCCCCCAACGTTGCAGGGCCAATTTAGCCCAAGGGCTTTTATTTGCACAAACTTGGTAGACACCCATAAGAAGATGTTTCATGCTAAACATCCAAGTTCTAGCTCATTGGGCTTTTTAAAAGAAGATTTTTTTAAAGTTTTTACTATACACATATAGTTAAAAACAATGACACCCCTGGGGCCGGGCCAGTTTTGACCCCAGGGCTTCTATTTGAACAAACTTTGTAGACACTTACTAGAAGATGTTTTATGCTTAATATCTAAACTCTAGCTATTTGGGTTTTTTCAAAGAAGATTTTAAGTTTTTGCTATACACATATAAAGAAAATCAATGACCCCCGGGGCGGGGCCAATTTTGACCCCAGGTCTTTTATTTGAACATACTTTGTAGACACTCCTTAAAAGATGTTTCATGCTTAATATCTTAACTCTAGCTATTTGGGTTTTTTTCAAAGAAGATTTTTTAAGTTTTTGCTATACACATAAAAGGAAAAACAATGACCCCCTGGGCGGTGCCAATTTTGACCCCAGGGCTTTTATTTGAACAAACTTGGTAGACACCTATGAGAACATGTTTGATGCTAAATATATTAGCCATAGCTCTTTGAGTTCTTTAAAAGAAGATTTTTTAGGTTTTTAACAATGTGCATATAGGGAAAATCAATGACCCCCCGGGGCGGGGCCAATTTTGACCCAAGGGATTTTATTTGAACGAACTTGATAGACACTTATTAGAACATGTTTCATGCTAAATATCTTAGCTCTAACTCTTTTGGTTCTTTAAAAGAAAATTTTTAAGTTTTTACTATATGCATATATGGAAAATCAATGACCCCCTGGGTCGGGGCCAATTTTGGCCCAAGGGCTTTTATTTGAACAAACTTGGTAGACACCTATTAGAACATGTTTGATGCTCAATATCTTAGCCATAGCTCTTTGAGTTCTTTAAAAGAAGATTTTTTAAGTTTTTACTATATGCATATAGGGAAAATCAATGACCCCCCCGGGCGGGGCCAATTTTGACCCCAGGGCTTTTTATTTGAACAAACTTGGTAGACACCCATTAGAAACATGTTTCATGCTAAATATCTTAGCTCTAGCTCTTTAGGTTCTTTAAAAGAAGATTTTTTAAGTTTTTAACTATATGCATATAGGGAAAATCAATGACCCCCCGGGGCGGGGCCAATTTTGACCCCAGGGCTTTTATTTGAACAAACTTGGTAGACACTCACTAGAAGATGTTTCATGCCAAATATCTAAGCTCTAGCTCTTTGGGTTCTTTAAAAGAAGATATTTAAAGTTTTTTCTTTCGGTTGCTATGGCAACCAGAGATCTGCATGGAATTAAATTCTTTGAACAATTTTTAAAGGTGACCACCAAAGGAACATTCCTGTGAAGTTTGGATGAAATTGGCTTAGTGGTTTATGAGGAGATGTCATTTAAAGTAAAAGTTTACGGACGGACGACGGACGGACGGACGGACGCCGGACGAAAAGCGATCACAAAAGCTCACCCTGTCACTTTGTGACAGGTGAGCTAAAAATCCTGCTAAATTCAATATGAGTTAATCAGTTATTGCATTATGGTGACGTGGTGATTGCATGTGACATGTAAGTTTTTAAACTCCATGTGGCACCAGGTTATGAAAGCAACAGCAGAGATCAATGGAAGAATACAATGGTAAATGTTTTCAAAGAATGGACGGATATAGCATATAAGCAGTAACACTAGAGACACATAGTTACAACTAGTATAAACCAAATGCAAAAGGAAGTACTAGTAATTGTGTTTCCCTCATTTTTTATCCAAAACAAGAATACTGTATCCCTTATCACAAAACATGTCTCAATTTTTTTTCATTAGAAAAAAACTTGTGAAAATAACTTACTAAAGATAAATTGTACTTTGGTGAAAATGACTGCTGGATTTCATAAGATACAGTTAAAGGGCAAATGAAAGTGTGATCATATTTGTATAATCAAAGGATATATTCACACTATAAACACATTCTAGGTTTATCAATGTACAGTGGTTAGAAAAAGACTCCAATAAGCAATGCGTTGCTTCCAGTCTAATCCTTTTTTGAACTGATTATTATTATGTAAAATTTGTTCTTGTATATGACGAATAACATATGTTTACACTGATGTACAATGGTTGCCCATTGTATCAGAAATATTTAAAACATTCTAGTGAGAAATCAGATCTTCTCTGAATCTTTAAAAATGGAAAAAAAGCAATATGACAACCTCAAAATAAAAACATGTATAAAGATAAATATATAAATAAATATATTGTTACATGTATTTATAAAACAAAAACACAAATAACCTCTGTAATGCATATGACATTGTAATAATTCATAGTCAATATCTCTAGCATTGAAAATGTCTGATTTAATACTATCTTTCAATATCATAACTTGAACACATATCACAATTTTCACTTACAACATATTTTTTATCAACAACTTTGTTGTTATATATTCTTTTTTCAATGCAAACATTTACTATTTCAATAACACTTCCCTTTTCAGATCCATTCATTTAAGTCATTTCTGGCTTCAAAAATACTTTCCTTTTCAGATTCATAAAAAGAACACTCATAATATCCATTGCAACTAGTACTACATGATCATTCTAATGGTGGAACATCAGGATTGTCTACAAAGTCCTCACTGTTTGGTCTTTCAACTTTTGTCCTACACAATGGCTTAGATCCAAGAGGTGGTACAATATTGTCTGACTTTTCCTTTACAATTCCTCCAATGTCAACAGTTTTTCTTGCCTTTTCATCCACTTCTAACTTTTCGTGTGTTTTACTGAAAAACAAGCATATACTTTTCAAAATTCTTAAAGAATCAAATAAAATTCCTCCCAATGAATCAAAAAATTAAAAGAATCTTCAGTGTCTTTATAAAAATCTAACAAAATTTGTTTGTTTATGAACCAGAGTTTGTGGACATCTGTTTTGCTGTGGTCCTTGGCCTCACTAATAAAAGGTTACTTTATCTAAATTACAACAGTGTCATACATTTTCAAACAAAAGAACTTTCTCTCTATTTTTCTGCATGAATTTTATTTGGCATAAAATAAACACATATCTCTTAACACATATGAGCCGCATTACAACAAATCAAACGTAATGGGTTTGTGACCAGCATGGATCCAGACCAGCCTGCGCATCCGCCCAGTCTGATCAGGATCCGTGCTGTTCACTTACAAACCCTATTACAAGTAGAGAAACTGATAGCGAACAGCATGGATCCTGATCAGACTGCGCGGATGCGCAGGCTGGTCTGGATCCATGCTGGTCGCAAACCCACTATGTTGGTTTTGTCATGACGCGGCTCATATGATGTTGTAAAGAAGAAAACTTAAATCATCTAAACAACCTACTCATTGTATAAAGGGCATTAACATAATATGTTTGTAATAAATATGTAGTAAAACGAAGTAATTTACCTAAATTTCTTCTTCTCATTATTGTTAACATTTTCTTTATTATCTCCTTTGTTGGAAGGTTTAACGGCAGGTTTTACAATCTGCTTTGCCTGTAATAAAAAATACCCTCCTATAAAAGTTGTGATCTTAAATTTGTTTCATTGATCTTGATGGATGATTTATAATTGCATTAGACTGTAGGGCCAACTTTAAACTGCTGCCACCCATCACTTTAATACAGAAGTTGTTGTTTGTAAAAGACAATAAATATTCAATAAAATTTTACTTTGTAGGTGCACAATTGTTATTGCAGTCTTTTCCTATTAGGCATTTGAAAAAAGATCTATTTAATTTCACATTTAAAATAAATAAAATCAACTTTCATAAATTACTTATTCTCTTTACTTGAAATTTCACAAAAAAAAAGACTTAAAAATTCCATTTCAAAAAGAAAAGATTGAATAAAATAAAAAGTCCCGTAACCACCAGGCCCACTGCAATTAGATTTTAAAAATTACAAATAAAGTTATTTAATAAAATTTGAATGGCTTTCAGGCACATGTACACAACAAGATGGTATGCTTTTAAAAGATTCTGTGATCTCATTTTCATTTTTCACAATAAACTCTTAAAAAACGTTCTATCTCTGAAGAAAAAATCTTTGTAGTCCATTAAGTAATGACTTATTGCCGAGAAAACAAGTAATTTTGCTGACATCAAAAACACAAAACATATTAAAAGATTTAAAAATTGATAATTTAAACATATAAAAAAAATGCATAACTATTACTAACCTTTTGGCCATGATCAAGAAGGTGTCCTGTTATTTTAGATCTCTCACATTTACTGGAGCAGCATTTCACCTCCTGATCTGTGCCAGTTTGGAATATCTGCAATGAAAATTAAGTCTTGATAACATTTTAATTTCCTTCCCAGCTTAATTATAGTTAATAGACTTGTCCATTCTGTTTCAATCCGGATAAAACCATTCATTATTTTTTTTATTTTTATTTTTTTTTTTGGGGGGCGGGGGAGGGTTGGCGAGGGAATTCCAAAATAAGTATTGATGAATTGTACAGTGCAGACCATGAGAGACGGCATAAGTGTGAAGGCCTGATCTTGGTCCATTAGTGGCTTGCATGGGTTAATTTAATTACTGTCAGCAGAGTTAGAAAAGAAATATCGACATATATTAAAATATATAGCATATTGTTAGAAAATGTGACCTTTAATGGGTTTTTATTGCTTAAGTTAATTGTGTAAAGATGTATCCTCAAAAGTATTAAAATGGGAATACAATTCTACTGGAATCAACAACAGTGATAAAAGCCACCAGAGTAGCACACTTGTGTTGTTTTAAATCAATAATTTAGTGTCTGATGAAGAAATGAGTAAAGAGAATCTGATTCAAATGTAAAGAATTATTCTTCTTTATGAAGAGGCATATGAACTGAATGACAATACAAAAAACTTCAAGTTATATATTATGTATCTATATACATTAAATTACACAAATGCAATGCACAACATATTTCTGTACCAATACATTAATTTCAGTTATGAACATATATGTTCAACCACTGGTGACATTCAAACAGAATTTTACCAATGAAATACAGATAATTGGTAATAATGGTAAACATGAAAGCACTGTTTTAAAGGCAATGACCACTTCAACAAATTCTTACCTTTCCTTTTGTTTTGATTCTGACATAACTTGGTTGAACATCTACATCTATGAGAGAGGTTTCTAAATATCTGAAAGAAATCAAGTCATTACAATTGCTACTCTCATAAAGGCATAAGTTGATACAAGCATGTGAATTTATATAACCTGATATGGTTTAGTTTCCAGAAAACACTGTGCATATGTACATGGCAAACTTTTAGGAAAACTTGAGAATCTATGGTAAAAACATTCCTTTCTTCGTGCTTTTATATTACAATAAATTGTTGTGTTTCTGTGTTAATAACAAACATTTTTAGGTTACAAGAGTCCAGAACTGGGATATTGTATGCAACTGAATATAATATTGCAAATTTGTACAATTATGTGTTAAGTTTGTAATATCTATAGATAGGAATTTCATATGTACATCAATGTCAAGATCTTTTCACTAATAGAGAAGGAAATGTGTAAATTGCATGTAGCTCATATTCAGCTGTGCTTCAGGCTTGAATTATGATGTCTCGGGGTTAAAGTCATTCTGTCACATATATATCAATATAAATGTCAGACAAAGAAAAAATCATACTTACTTGTAACATTGATAATCAAGAAGGTAGTTATTGCCAGTTTCATCTTCTGTCAGTTTAAAATCTATCCTGAAATTACATTTTTTTTAGGTTTAAGGTAGAGCTAATGTATAATAGGAGATAAGGGGTAAAATTATCTTAAAAATATTTAGCCAATATTTCATCAAACTCAAAATTTCAACAAAATCTAATTTCCTTAATTAAATAGTCTTGTCAGTTTACCTAAGGTATATTACAATTTATCGTATGAAGAGAAATTATGGCCTGTAAATGAATTGTTGCAGATAAATTTTGCAAAACTGAAATAAATTTTCAGAAAAAAAACAAACAAACAAACAAAAAGAAAAAAACAACATAATTAATACAAATCAAAACATAGCACATTACATATATTGAAATAAAGAATCTTATCCAAAGTACAGATAAAAATAATACAACATTTTTAAGTAATAACATAAAACCCTATACTAACAGCATTTTTGAGACTGTCAGACACTTTACTGAGCTTAACCTATACCCTGCTGGAACTAAGCCACCAGTACAGAGCCAGGCCAGTGTGAGCATATGTACAGTCTAACCAGCCTCTTTTAGACTATACTTTTTGTACTTCTCTTTTGAAATCTCTCAAACTTTGAATTGGCTGTTCTGCACTCAATGCTTGGGGAAATCAATTATACAAATTCAGCAGGTTATGGGATAACACACTTGTCCTGTCATCAAGATTTTTTGTAACAGTTCATTGCTAATCTGAGATAGTTCTATAAAGAAATGAAAACAGCAAACAGTATAGTCTGGTCAGATGACATAACGTGTACGCTGGTCAGGCTGGATACATGTGGAAAAGAATAATCACTATGTCTGGTAACACAATAATGTATATATTGTCAGAACTTGTACAAATATCTTTTTAATACAAGTATGATAAAAATAAAACTTACTTTGATTCATTTACATTAAGAGCTCTGCCTTCTTCATTAAACAGTCGACGAGGAGGTTTTGGCGGGTTTTTAGCCTCTCTGTAATGATAAAAGAAATTCTAATATTATAACATGGGCAACATTGTTGCAAAGTACGCCCCTCACAAAAGCTTTTGTCAGAGATGTGGGCATTATAGATATACATATGCTCTGGGCAATATCCAGACAATATCTAGACAAGATCATCTTTAGTGACCTTGACCTTGCAAAAATAACCTAAATTACATGTGTCACACTTATAGTCATGAAATTTAATCATTTGTGTTACAATCCATCAAAAGATGATGACAAAATGGTCCCCGTACACAAACTTTGACCTCCCTATGTGACCTTGACTTCGGTAGCAGGAACCTGGATAATATCCAAAATACTTAGCTTCACAATGGTAGTAATTATAACGACCATTTGTGTGTCAATCCCTCAATAAATGATGACTTAATGGTCCTAATACACATTTTCATATTTTTATCTGAACTTTGACCCCTATGTGTGACCCTGACCTTGGTTGCAGAGACCTTAATTTTGCACGCGACACTCCGCCCCACAATGGTAAAAATTTGTGCCAAGTTATATTGAAATCCCTCTATGCATGTAGAAGTTTTGCTTTTTCAATGACCTCTAAGTGTGACCTTGACCTTTGACCTAGAGACCTGGTTCATCACATGACACTGCTTCTCATAGTGGTGAACATTTTTATGAAGTTTCATTAAAATTCCTCAATGCATGCTCCTGACAAAAAATTGGGCGCCTCCCACCCTGTCGCCCATGTGTCCGCCCATCACAGGGAAATTATGATACAACCTGTTTTCAAACAGGCGTTTAAGACCTATTCAGCCAAAGGCTGTATTTTAGACATCTTCCATATTTTAGTTACATGTAATATAATTTGGGTCATGAAAGTATACATGTATTTTCTGTGAGTTTAGTGCAAAATGACTGCATCATCTCCATTATGTAAGTCACACATAAAAACATTAGACACTGCTCTGTCTTTTTTAGGCAAAAGAAGGGGTGCTGGGTGAGTGGTTTGTGCAGAATAAAGTCACAGCACAAAAAAAATCATAGTGAATTCCTTTTTTGGATGGAGTTTAACAGAGGTCAGTATAGAACAATCAATCTGAAGGACACAGTTTCTAGATTCTTCAACGCAAAATACTTCCGACCTTTTCAGCCAGAATCAAACATACACAGTCATGTGGTGCTTGGGATTCTAAGTCAGTAAAACAAAGTGACCTTTGAAAACATGTGCCTCTTTTTAAAGAAAAATTCTTATGATTAAAAAAAAACTCATTCTGCAGATAAAGAAAATATAATAACAAACATTAAGACGTGGTTCAGAAGATTCAAAATTTAAAAAAAATCATTCAATATTAAGGAATAAAACATTTTGACAACTTCTTACTCTTTTTTTCTCTCTCTGTCCTTTTGTTCTTCTTGCTTTTTATGAGATCTGATTCTTTCCTCAGGACTAAACACTGACTTTGATTCCCAGAATCTGAAATGAACAATTATAAACTTTATTGCAATTGTTAAAATTCTGAAATCAGGTTATCCCTCAGGAAAAATAAATAAAATATTGAAGAGAAAATTGGAGACTTGATTTTATTGAATCTGTTCATCACAGACAAAGAAAATCTCATCATCTCTTTAATCTTTATCATGCTAAATATCTTATATGGACTTGGTCATCTTTCCTGCTGGACAAAACAATTTTTTTTTAATGAAAATTTTCAAAACTTTAAAGATATACTATGCTCTTCTTTTGGTAAAATATTTTTATCTTAGAAATGTATTAAAATCCATGAAATTCTTACTGAATATGTTTAGTTTGAATAAAATAATGAATAAACTATGTATGTGAAGCTGCATTCCCTATTACAGGTCAAGTAAAGTTGGTCTTTTCTTAAAAAAAACTGCCAGTTTTTTTAATGACACTATATATTCATATGGTGACAACATATAGTGTGTAGAGTTCAAAACATAGCACATCTACTTTAAATGAAGTCAAAACATGTTTATTTTAAACATACAAAGAGACTGTGTAGCAATTATTAATATTTTTAAAAATAAAATTTGAGCATAGTATATCTTTAACACATAGGACTAGTAATTTAACAATTGCTGGCTGTATGGGTCTGAACCCATGCAGTGGCAAGCTGTTGTTTCCTTGAACAAGAAACATTACACTTATTACTTAGTACTGGTTAGTTCCAGGAACAGATTTGAGTGTTTTTTTTAGCTCATAACTTTCAGCACAATTTAAAAAAAAAATCTGTATAAGCTATGTACCAGCTGCAGTATGCATAAATCACTTGGACACACAAGATTGTTACCTGCCTCGATTACTATAAATACAACTCTGACAAATGTTAGGGAACCAATTATTTGGTTCAGTGGCCTCAATTGCATTTATTTGTATGCAAGTGGTCTCCAGTTTCAATCTATTTAGTTGTTCGATATTTTTTGATGCATTTGCATCTTTTTTGTTATATGGGTAAGAAGATGCCCTGTGCTCAATTTGAGAATTTGTCAAATATTCAATAGATAATGATTTAATTATACTTACTCTTTATCTTTGGCATGCTCTTTTTCTAGTTGTTCTGCTTCTCTTTTAGCCTTAGCTACTTTATCTCTGAAACATAATATATAAATTTTAACAACGCTTTATAGACACTTGATTTTACCACATTTAAATATGATTTTTTGTATTAAACTGTTCACATTGGTATTCTCTTTTATGAAATTATGTTTTATTGAGCTAAACTGTTTTATGCAGTTTCATGACGAAGTTATACTGTATATAGAACACAAGACTTTACACCCCAACTCAATACTGATGACTGAGAGGGTTTAATAATTCACAATGAACCTGAAAGACAATTTTAGCAAAATTGGAAGTTTACAAAACATTGTTGGAAAATAAAAAATTTTAATGTTAAATTTCTAAACACTTTACTTTTTTCTTTCTTTATTTTTTCCCATTCAATTCACTACATAGCCTGACCTACATTATCAGCTTTGAAAAACTACATTTCTTACAATAGAATAAATCTAGTAAATTTTCAATTTTTCCTCACAATTTCTTCTGGTTTCTTTTAACACAACAAGATAAATAATGCATCTATATTCAAATTAAATCAAGAGCATTGCACCCCAAGAGCTTATTTGCATTATATTTGAATAAATATAGTATAACTAATACAAAAGAGATTTAAATCTCGTGAAAGTGTCAACAGTTAAAACTCTAGACATGCCCAATATTGAAAAATCTGAATTAACTGCTTTTACATAGAAAAACAAATCCAGCTGAAAAAGAACAGATACTGTACTCAAAACAGAATTAGCATGATCAATGACAGTTTGTTTGTTTTTTTTCATTTTACGCCTTTTCCAAACAGTATTTCAGTCATATAGGCGGGTAGTTTCCTAACCATCGTTCCTGGAGAGTTACACCAGTACTAGACTACCTTCCTCCGCGCTAAACTACCAAAGCATCTCCCGGGGATCGAACCCACGCCAGAGAGGTAACTGGATTAGAAGTCATCGACTCTAACCCCTGGACCATGGAGGCGGTGTGATCAATGACAGATGAAAGATAAAAGGTTTATGAACTTTATTTTCAGGAAAAATTATTTCATTATTTTTGTAAACAAAAAAAGTTGGATGAATTATATGGAAACTTGAAAAGTGGAAAAATATCGAGTCAATCATTTTAAAGGTATATATAGCCATACAGACAGAGTGAAAATTATAGAATATAATCTAACTTTAAATTTTAAACCTTAAATGAACTTTGCATAATTTTAGAACATGATAGCAGAAACCATTTTAGGTGAGAAAAATCCTGGGTCACCGAGCTGATTTTACAGTTATTTGCCCTTGAATTTACCAGTAAACAGTCAGGGCAGACTGCACTTTTTGATAAATGTATTTAAAATTTTTACTTCTATTCTGCAAACTGAGCAGACTATACAGCCGACACTCAATTCTAGTAAAATTATAACACTCTGCATTAAACCCTTAGTGTGCTGGGGCAAATGGGAATTCCACCCATCCAAATAGTGCAGACCAAGTTGGGGAATTGAAGGATTTTAACTAAAATTAAATATGAGTTGTTCACTATACATTTTTTGTTCAGTCAGTATACATCTAATTTTTATTTTGAATTTTTCCCTTAAAATGAGTAATGTTTGTGTCCAGATTGAAAGATGGACAAGTCCACTTAAGATATTATTTGGCTTGGTAAAGGTTTAATTAAGTGCACAACACGTTCACAATTTTTTTTAATGCACAAATATTAAGATCTTGAATTCACAATTATACAATATATGTACTGCATATAATATTATATTGTATCTTTACGAATTCAAAAGTTAACTAGATTCTCTGTTTGTGCATTAAGAAAATGATGTAAAAATGTGAGAATATTTCATACAAAACATGCAGTATTTGGGGCAGGATATTACATGTACATTTTAACATTTCTATCTTGTATCGTAGAATTTTATACATACTATTGATAGGATAAATAGATCAAAACATACACAATTTATCAGAACATGTTTCTCTTTAATAAGACACGTCAGTTGATAAATAACAAAGGAAATGATGTAAGCGTACCAAACAGACGTCTACGTAAATAGACACCACATAGACGCCACATTTGGCGCATAAAAGGAATGTTATAATAATTAATATAAATCGTCTAATCTGTGTTATATAATAAAATACATACTCTTGATTAATATCAGTGTACCATCTGCCATCAAATCCAGGATTTTTCTCTTTCTCTTCCCTTTCATCTGCTTCCTTCTCTAACCTTTCTTTTTCCTCTTCTAATCTTGCCTCTTCCTTTTCCTTTGCCTGAAATAAAAATAAACCTTTCAACATCCTTGTAAAGTATTAGTTATAAAGATTTCTGACAGTTTATATGGCCCCATATAAACAGTTGTTTGGAAATATAATGGTTATATTTTGTACACAATTGTTTATATATGGCCATATAACCTGTCAGGAATCTTTATAGCAAATTTATAATACAGCAAACTTCCTTTTTCAGAGGAAAAAAGCAAGATTTCTTTATAAAATTTCAGCAGCCATGCATATTATTAGTTATGAAGATTTGGTCCTATATAAATGGTAGTTTTGAAATATAACCCAAGCCCCCAGGTGATGGTTATATTGCACACAACCAATTATATACGGCCATATAACCTGTCGGGGATCTTTATAACAAATTTTAATTACAGCAAACTTCCTTTTTCAGACGAAAAAATTGTTATTTCTTAATAAATTTTATGCAGCCGTGCTGTAAAATCATATAAACATCACGATTATCCATTATGAAAAGCAATTTTACAAACATGCAGTATTATAACAAAAACTATAGTGTTTTCAAAACATTTACTGCGAGTCTGTCTAGTTAAAATATATTAACCATTAAATTGCCAAAAAAGTAGTATCAGTTTTCATAAAAAGCAGCTTTAACTGTCTGAGAAAATACATCAGGGTTGAACTGTCTGTAAAACTTCTACAAAATTGTATATTACAGTAAAGAAAAAGATTTACTTGTCATTTTTACAGTGTTTTTGATTATTCAGGACTGAAATTGAAGGTCCCTAGTCATGTCAAGCAAAAATCCATCTAATTTGAAGTAGATTTAATAAATTATGATTTCTTTTCAAGATGTTAAGAACTTGTGCACTTAATCTTATAAATGTGGCCAAATGAACAGCTTGACTATTATTTTGCAATAAAATACATTTATAAAATTCTTTCATCAGCTTTTATTCTTCCCTCCACATCTACTTACTTAGTTTTAGATTTGTGTAGAGAAAATTCAATGTATTTTATTCAATGCACATATCAATCTTTTCTAAATATTCAATTAAATGTAAAATGAATACAAAGGGAAGTAACAGCATCATATCTTGCTGACTATTCTATCAAGAGTAACTGAACCTATGTACATACTATTATTCATACTTTAAAGTTTAAATAAGTGTTCGAACATGTTCTCAACAAAAAAACAAAAAAACAAACTTCATGTTTACATAGTTTATATGATTATACAATTCTTTTTAATTGAAAACAAAATAACTCACTCTCTGTTTTCTGTACTCAATTTGCTGAGCTATAATTCTAGCTTTTATCACTCCATAATTCTGAAAAAGTAAAAACATGTGATTTTTACAACTACAAGATCATTTTTAAACATTCCCATGTACTTCATTCTACATCTCTTTTCAATAGTAGTTGTGATATAAGAGGGTTGCTATCAAAGTATGGTGATCTGGCACTTATATTAACTTCGGCAGATTTAGCTAGGCCAGAACCATATCAGGCCAAAAGCATCATTACAGATCACACTTGTTTGCAATATAGGTTTTTTTATCTGTCAGGTTGTATTCGTGTATGTGGTATATGCAGTAAATGTAGGAAAATATATATAAGTATACTATAAAATCACTGATCTATGTCACCAGTATAGAGACATTATGTCTGACTAGGGTGTGTTTAATGTTGGCTGTAAAAAGTTTAATATTTCAAAATGAAAATCCCTTATTAAACAAATGGCAGTTTCAAACTTTGTTTCTTTTAATTTAACATATTTTGGTCATATTTCCAAGGTCTGACCACCTAACCAGCTTTCCTGGATAACTTACAATACTAACAAGTAATTACAAATTTCTGCCCAAAACGCCTATTAGTTATCACACATGACTTCTGAATCAGTATCAAGAGACAAATGACCATTTAAGACTCAAAGTTCTACATCGGTTGCCATGGAGAAAACCTGCCTCGTCTGGGGATCAAACCATCAACCCTTTGATTATATAACGATCTTACACCGGCTACCAGTACAAACCAGAATATCTAGCTTGTGGTTTATGGCAATAATTAGGCTCTGCCGAGTTTCCACTAAACAGTTACAGAGAGCTAGATATTCCCTTAAGGTGACAACAGCTGGTGTTTGATTCTTTTTCTTGCATACTTACTTATTAATCATATCTCAAAAAGAAATGAATATTTTCATTCAGACTTTTTCTTTTGTGCATATGGTTTAAATTTTCAAAACGGTAAAAAGCCTAAAAAACTTTTAAAAAAGGCGCTTGTGATGGTCTTTTTAAAGCCGAACTGGTTTTAAAGGGGGGGTGTAAGACGGGTTTTTTTCTAGCCCCGGGTGTAAAAAATAGATAATCCGTTGATATCAGAAAAAATTGTTTTCTACCATTCAGCTATGTGGGCTAAAAGCAGGAAAAGGTCAAAACTATGTAAAAGGAAAAAAACCAAATCATTGGGAAACTTAAAACTGTTTTAAAATTTAAAGTTGTTTAAGAAGCTTCCGGGGTTGCTTAAATTCTTTCTGACTTTTCTACAACTATCCCATCTAGTGTCTAAAATTTACAAAATATGAAAAAAGGACTTAAATAAATGTTTAAACATTGCAGTATTTAAATGTACTACAAAAGATACAAGTCAATAAATTTTTTCAATGGCTTGTTAGGTTTTTGGCACCATGTAAAACACAGTCACTGCCATTTACTTTATTATCAAAATATCACAGAAGTCTTATTATATATTGTAGTAGAGTCACAACTTTATACTATTCTAATCCATGTTGGATAACATTTTTTGTTGTTTCCCTTACCATCTTATTAAATTATGAAAAAAATAAAATATCAAAAAATGAGTTTTTTTTTCAATTCCTGACTATTTTTGGATCACCACCAAGTGGTTATGGTTGCTGATTTCAAAACACAAGACTCTCACAGCCATAGGTTTGAATCTTGTCAGGGACTTTAAATTCTTACATATGAGGAATCTATCCAGCTAGCTTACAGAAACTCAGTGGTTCTTATCTGGCTGCTCATGACTGAAATAATGCACAAAGGAGCACCTACGGTCTTCCTCAAAGAAAAAAAAACTGAAAAGTCGTCATACGTCATTTACAGTTTTTGGTGTGACTTAAAACCCAACAAAGGAAAACAAACCTCTGATTTATGCATTACATTAACTAATATGAAATGTTTTTTTAATAAAAGTACTTTTTTCCTTCAGAAAAGGTAGATGGCAAAAACAAAAATTCTGTAACCTTCTACTGTGCAAGGGGTTCCCTGTCAAGTATTCCCCGTTTATAAGAAAAAATATGTTACCCTTTTTGTTTTAGACTGGAGAAAGTGAAAAGATTCAAGATTAAAGTAATTTTTTAAATGTTATTTGTGAAATTAAAAAATATTTGCGTTATTTACCTATTTCTTTGTGGACTAATTTTAAAATAGGGGCTTTTTTTGTAGTGCCCTCTTTTTATTGTAGGGTTGAAAAGGCTTTTAAAATATGAAAATTCTTTGTTCATTAAAACAAATTCTGTCTGTCCCAGGGCCGAACCTTAACAGAGTTATTGACTTTTTATAATCGTGGGTACCCAAACCGATGAAAAAAATATTATACTTTAAATTTTTTTCATGAAAATTAGCAAATTGGAGGATGCTTTTTTAAACCCCAAATATAAATATATAAAATGCATTTTTGGAAAACAATTCCTTGCCTTTTGAAATGATTCTGCACCAGTGAGCTAGGGTCAGTAGTTGCAGTCGTCTATCAGGTTGCACTGAAACTAGCCGGTCATCTATTTTGAATTTCCCCTCAAAATAATGAATAGTTTTGTCTAGATTTACAGATGGCATTAAAGTCCAATTAAAATGTTAAAATGGAATGTTTTTTAGGAAAATATGAAAGCTCCCATTCGTATTTCATTATTAAAAAAGTTTTTCTTTTTCAAAATTTTTTTATACTTTACCCCTCCCCTAAAAATTTCTTTTAAAATCCAAACTTCTTTGTATCCAACCTAAAAATAGTCATTATATAAAATTTTTAAAAAAAAAAAATAACAATGACAAAAATTGTCAAAAACCGGTTTTTCCTGGCCCAGTAGCTATTCCATATGTGAAAAACAGTAAAACAAACAATAGGTCACAATTCTGAAAAAATTAAACGTCCTATTAATATGAGCTAGAACACTTGACAAAATCATTTTTAAAAGCATTTTTGGAAATGAAAGGAAATGCTCCTAAGGAATAACTTGTTTAAACACCAAGCAATCGCTACTGGGCCAACATTTATCAACTTAATAACCAGAGTGTCCCATGGATACCAAGATAAAAAACCACAGGACAAATATAGTGTAACATGTATTTAACTATAACAACAGCCCAGCAAGAAATTCTATAAATTCACCATTGTGACATAAAGAACACACATGAAAGTTTCAAGTCAGTACTTTTTCAGTGGTTAAAAGGAAATAAACAAAAGTGGCATGGAAATCTATAATTAAGCGTTTTCCAGAAGCAGGATGCCAGCACTGATAGTTATTATGACACTAAAAGAGAAACGATAGTGTCCATTTTTTTTAAATATATAGGGGCGCCTACAAGATTATCAAGGTATTTTTATAACAATTGTTCAGTCTATACCTTTTAAATTCCTTGGATATCATTACTAAAAACCTCTTTACATTCATGTTTATAAGCAGGTTTCTTTTGATTATATACAAACTTCTAAGTGTTTGGACATCAAAAGATATAAATATTTTTACATTATTATTAAACAATAAATATATATTTATACCACTTTTTAAAATTAACTACATTTATGTGGGCTGCTCAAACAAGCTGTACATGATTAACACATATTTTTTTTTTTTTACATAGGAAAGACTTACCTTCAAGATTTTCTAATGAGTTCAAACATTATTTTAGTGCTAAAATTTAGATATTCAAGTTTCTTTAATCTTCCCACATTTTCTGCAAAACAAAACAACATACCTATGATACAATTATATGATTATTTATTTTCTCTTTATATTATAATTTCCAACAGATTCTAAGAATCCTACCTCAAAATATAAGATCATACCACAGTTATCTTATATAAAATACAGAAAGAATTAATTTTGTTTAACTCAAAATACCTCATCAAAACAATTTAAGATAAAACAAGATATAATCCCTTTAAGATGTGTCTTCATTGATTATATATACAGTTACTTTTTTCTTTCATTTACATCCAAAATATTGTAAGTTATTGAAACACAGGACTTCGGCCTTAATGGCCAAGTAGGTAGATGGCCCTTTACTGCTGTGGTTTGGACTACTGTCAAGGAATTTAGACTAATTAATACAAGGACACAGAAGGCTGGTTGTTCTACACAGGTGTTTACTCATGCCTGAAATAATGCTTGCAGGGGCATATGTTGTATTTTTCCATCATTACAGCTGGTAAAATGCCATTTAAACCTTTAAAATTTTGATAAATTAAAAATTTTTTTAAATTATTAAAAAAAATTAAAAAGTTTTTCTATTTTTTGTAAAAATTTAAAACGTAAAAAAAAGATCAAAGGGAGCTGTGCCTAGTGGGGAAAAATGCCTGCCCATTCCGGGTCCGGTTCACCCCTTTTTTGGTCCCCATCTGTTTCCCCCATTTACTAACTATTAAAAGTTTTTCCCAAAAAATGAAAATCAAAAATGGTTAAAAAAGCTTTAAAGGGTAGTCCTTCTAAATTAAAAAGCTGTGGTGGCGCTGCTGTATTTTGTGCTTGATGAAAAAAAAGCCTGTCCCTCCTCCTGTTTACGGTTGGGGGTTTTGGTGAACAAATGTGCGTTTCAAAAATTTCAAAGGCTTTGAAAAATTTTTAATTTACAAAAAATTTAAAGTAAATTCTAAGTCGAAAAAAGGGGCATAATTCTGTCGAAAATGCGCTTGATAGAGTTTACCTCCTCCTGTTTACAGGTTGGGGTCATGATGTTGAACCAAGCGTGCAAAGTTTCAAAGCCATATGTCAATGGACTTTGAAAATATTTGAACTATTACAAAAACTTTAACGTAAATTCTAAGTCGAAAAAAAAGGGCATAATTCTGTCAAAATGCTTAATTAGAGTTACCTTTCTTGCTGTCTATCAGGTTGGGGTCATGATGTTGAACAAGTGTGCAAAGTTTCAAAAGCCACAATGTCAATGGACTTTGAAAATATTTGAACTATTACAAAAACTTTAACGTAAAATTCTAAGTCGAAAAGGGGCATAATTCTGTCAAAATGCTTGATAGAGTTACCTCCTCCTGTCTTACAGGTTGGGGTCATGATGGTGAACAAGTGTGGCAAAGTTTCAAAAGCCATAATGTCAATGGACTTTGAAAATATTTGAACTATTACAAAAACTTTAACGTAAATTCTAAGTCGAAAAAAGGGGCATAATTCTGTCAAAATGCTTGATAGAGTTACCTCCTCCTGTCTACAGGTTGGGGTCATGATGGTGAACAAGTGTGCAAAGTTTCAAAGCCATATGTCAATGGACTTTGAAAATATTTGAACTATTACAAAAACTTTAACATAAGTGGTTACGCCGACGCCGACGCTCGGGTGACTGCAATAGCTCTACTTATTCTTATCGAATAGTCGAGCTAAAAAGTAAGGTAAATAAGGTTTGAATTAAAGAAGATCACAAACCTATTCTTGGTATAAGATTACTCTGCAGATATAATATTTTAAGTTGTCTACACCATTTATCTAGATTTTCAATTCTGAAAGAGAAAATATTAAATATCAAATATTAACAATTACAATAAGACAATAGATATAAACAGGTTTTGACAGAATTATACTTATTAACATTTCATCAGACTATGCTTAGTTTATTAGGTAGGTCTGAATGTATGATTATAAACAACAAATATTTGAGAATTCAATAACTTTGAAAGCAATAAAAAAATGAAAATTGTTTTGAAATAGACTTGCTTGAGCTAGCATTTCAGTTGATTATTATCAACTACAAAATGCATATTCTCAGTTTAATTTTACATCATTTGGCCATGCATAAACATTGGACATGAATGCCCCACACTCATATCAAACCATGTGTTGCATTAACTTAAATGCGCAGTAAAATATTGAGAACAAAAATCATAAATGTATCTCGTACCTTTCAATGTTTTCCTGATGTAATGATAATTCCTCAAGACTGAATATCTCCCTTTCATTATGTTCTGCCTTCCTTCTGACTAGCTCTTCTGTGACTTAAAAAAAATCAACAACAAATTAGCCCACTGAAGTACTTAAAGTATGGATGTTAAATGTAGAATACTTATCTGTTGTTTTGACATATAATCAGCAACTTCTACACTTAAATCACCTGAATCAGCAGTGGAGAATGAATTGCTTTGTAAGCATGGACCCTGGCCCTAAACTTATAAATATGACATTGCTTTGAGATATATTTATTCAGCATGCTCCCTCAATTTCAAACATTAGGGTACCACTGTACATGTACCCCATATCATTTAGAAATTGGTGTTAATTTATTTCAAAAATTT